GAGAAAAAGACAGAGGAAAACACAGGAGACTGAAATCAAGGAAAATCTACGGTAAAAAAACATAAAATGAAAGAAAACCTGAACTACTGACCCATCAATATTCTTACACTGGCCACTCCCCAGCTGGAGTAATAAATTTATCACAGTTCACCAAGTCATCAGCTCTGACAACTTAGACAACAAAAGATCTGTACCTATACACAGAGTAAATGAAATTAGATTTGTTGTCAATCTGATAACCATCACATTTTGATAGTTAATTATGTTCATTTAAAGAAGCACATCCCAATTCATAATAATTAAAATGCCCACTATAGCTGAAGATCTGTTCATTGTTTTTCTTACGTGTTTTTTCTGTTAATTCACTGATTTTATTGTCTAACACAAAGAAGAAAAATTTAAAATAGAGCAGGAAAGAGACAGAAATGGAAAAAAAAGACATTAAATAAAGATCAATGGTAAAATGAGAAAAAACACAGATCTCCTCACAGAAGCAGTATCTTGAGTACAGGATTACAAACATACATACAAGTTCAGACTTTTCTGCTGAATTTTTACACTGAATATGGTCTATCTTGTACCACAGCTTTCCACGGCAACTTGCAATAAAATCCTACATATGCTGGAATGGCACAGTGGTAAAAGCTAAGGCCTTGCCTAAACTTGCTCATCCAAGTAAGATAAAATACACCTTCAAAGTAGAACAATTACTTTAAAAAATTCCAGAAATCCAAACTCTCTCCATATGGACAATTTTATTCAGAATAAAAACATCCAAGAGTGACAGTAACAAGAAAAACCTCGGAAATTGTTTTAATGCAGTTCATAACTTGTCTCCTGTATCATGGAATCACAGAAGGGTTTGGGTTGGAAGGGATCCTAAAGATCATCCTGTTCCAACCCCCTGCCATGGGCAGGGACCCCTTCCACTAGCCCAGGTTGCTCCAAGCCCCGTCCAACCTGGCCTTGGACACTTCCAGGGATGGGGCAGCCACAGCTTCTCTGGGCAACCTGTGCCAGGGCCTCCCCACCCTCACGGGAAAGAATTTCTTCTCATTATCTAACCTAAAAATTGACCCTCTTTCAGTTCCCTTGACCTATCACTCTATGCTTTGTAAAAAGTTTTCTTGTAGCCTCTGGAAGGAGCTCTAAGGTCTCCCCAGACCCTTGCCTTCTCTATCCCTTCCCTCCATTGTATCCACATCACTACACAGGTTGGTGTCATCAACAATATTCCCAAGGGTGCACTTAAATCCCTCCGTGCCTGTTGCTGGCAAAGCTGTTAAACAGCCCCAGTCCTGAAGCCAACCCTGAGGAATGTGACTTGGCACAGGGCTGCACTTGGACACTGAGCCATTGACTGATACACTTGGAGTGGGACCATCCAGCCAACTCCTACCCACCAAATACCCACCCCTAAAATCCATCTCTCTCCAGTTTAGAGCCAAGGCTGTTGTGTGGGACAGTGTCCAAGGCAGCCTTGCCCAGGTTCAGGCGGGTGACACCAGTGGCTCTGCCTTTATCCCCCAAGGCTGTAACTTTACTGTAGAGAGCCAGCAAATGTCAGGCACCATTTACCTTCAGTGAAAACAAGATCACAGCAACTCCTGCACTGTTCTGATAGCTAAATGAACACCATGTATTTTTGTTCATTGTTCATTTGAAGGCATAAATCCTTTGCAAAAGGTGTGATTTTTTGATGCTGGTATGATCATTCCTCATGGTACTTCCATACAATCTTATTGGAATTACCAAACTGCAGCTTTTGGTTGGTGTCTATTTATTACCAGTTGACTACTAATCATCACAATATACTGAATGATTATATTAAATTCATTGAAAAATTCTTTCTTGATAGCAAATACCATAGGAAAAAATATTTTGAAAATTCTTATTTATATTTTTTATAATATTTTGCCACTGGAAGATGGTATAGCAGTTCAAATATGCTGTGGCTTTCCACGAAAGTAAACTCAGACAAAACAGAAAATTCCTCAAACTAATCTAGGTGAATTTCAAAAGACATGTAGGAATCATACCATGGCAAAATGAAGGCAAGCATAAGAGGAAGTCAATAAAGAAAAAAAATCTAGGTGTCAAATCATATTTGTGGAATCTATGGAAACCTCAACAAAGTGAACAAGATCTGTATCAAAGGCAATTTCTGTGATGTCAGAGTGAAATTGAGTAAATGTGCTTGGAAATCTATGTCTCAACAAAACTAAATAGCTCTGTGTGGGGCTGTAAAAGTCAGATTAATGAGTGACAGCACAGCCCTCAAATCAGATCCTGCAGCTGGCATTTCTGAGCTCAAGGTATAGAACAGGATGGGCTGTACAGAAAAGGAGGTCTGTAAAAGGCAGAGAAATTCAGAACTGAACACAGGCTCTCAGTGTTGAGAGCTGTCTCTAGATATCAAAGAGAAAAACTACTGCATAAAAATATCCAGCAGTAAGTATTGCAACCAATCTACTGCAATAACTTGTCATGCATTTTGCTAGGGGGTGGGATTATCAAGCTGGGGCAGATCACTGAAGAATCATTTTGTACAATAAAGATCAGACCACAGCAGTAAAAAATTTAGGATACTGTCAGTCCTCAACCACAGACCCTTCATCGTTTGATAACATTCTGCTTGTTGAGTGAAGATTTTAATGAAAACAGTATTTCAGAACTTCCTTCCTTTGTGATTGTATGTCCTCACCTTAACCTTATTTTAACATTGTTTTTTGTGTGGGCGTTTATTGTATTGCAGAGCATGGCAAATCTGATAAGAGCAAAGCAAAGACTGAGCCTGGGCTTATTGTATCAGAATGGCTGAAATAATTCCATATCCTGGAAAACCTGGGAACTTCTGATCCTACATTCAGACACAGAATGGATACACAGTTTTTGATCACAGAAAATATTCTTGCAGTCAAACACAAAGCTAAACTTCAGTTGTATTCTCTGATGAACAATCAACATGGCTCATTTCCTGGGCTTTGGGAGAAAAACTGTTTCTTGCACAACCCAGTGAACTGAGAATAATAGGAATGATATGCTTGATGACAGCAGCAACACAGTATATCTAAAAAATATCTCAGAAGACTGCATTTCTAAATTAAAGTATGAACGTGGTAGGGAAAGCACACAGGATGTTTGATCCCAAAAGATTTTTTTCTTTCAGTGTCCTATGAGCTCCAGCTGTTGCTGTTACCACCACCCATTACCTGGATAGTTAATTCTCTCCAGACGTTCTAACTTGTTTCTCAAAAGATCACAATACTTTTTGAAAGACAACAAAACCCACGAATTTCCATTCTGGTTTCCAAAGGAAGAAAGTTATTTCCTTTATCTACACTTTATTTTATTATAACTTCTTTTCAGGCCCTGTGATGCAAAAAAAAAAAGTGTAATTGCCTGAGATTGTTTACCTCACAGGACATAATTTTTTAGAAATAATGGAAATACTATTCCCAGTTCTTTGTGTATTTTTTTGCAAAGCAAGTTTCTTCTGCTTTAACCATAAAACATCAACTAATTATTGAATTGAGGAACAATATGTGCTGATTCTCCCCGAGCCTGTTGGGATCACTCCTGAAATTCAGAAGTGGTTGGCTGCTGCAGGATGGTGGCCTTCACACAACAGGACACTATAACAGCACATCCATATTCTTGGGGGATATCATCTCACCAGTGGCCAGTACAAGAATAGCTGCACAATTAATCTGAACACATTCCTACTACTGGCTGGATTCCCATGCACACCTAGAGGAAAAGCAAAGATTGAACAGCCTGGTGTGAGCAGAGCTCCTGGCAGGGCACCATAGAAACTGTTCTCTGTAAAAAAATAATTCAAACTTACAATAGATACAGTTGCCTGTAGGAACTTACCATTCTTCTAGAGTTCCTATGATGACCAATCATATTGACATATATTTTCTTTAACCTTTACATTTAAAAAAATAATCCTACCACCAATAGATTACCCTTTATAGGCAATCCTTTTCAAAATTATTTCTAACATACTTCCCTATGCTTCTGGTAACTGTCAAAAATTGGCTTCATATCAGATGGAATATTGCTCTGATTTAATACAGCATTTCCTGTTTGGATATTTAACTAATTCCATTATTCTCTCCAGGGCTCCAGTTTTCACTGGGAAAGCAGACTGCACTAGCCTCCAGTGAAGGCTGTCTCAGTGCTCATTTCCTGACTCTGATCTGGACTTCTGAGAGAGTTAACCATTTAGTTCAGTGAGCTGCTCACTCCCAAAGTGGTCAGACCTCCATCAGCTATCTGCTTCACAACCCCCACAGCAGAATTTAGTTGAAATCATTGGAAGGCCTGTTCCACAAGGGCAAGGACTTCAAATTTCCAAACTGTTGCCAACTGAAATTTCTGACAAATGTTTCTGTTGTAAAAATGAATACTCTGTATGTATATATGAAAGGAAAAAGAGACTTGGACACCAAACAATAAGTCGAGGCTCCTTTGAGAACAGCAAGGCTCCTCAGGACTCAGCTCATTAATTTTCCCAGAGAGATATGCAATTGAAATTCGGTGAGAGCTGAATACTTGACTCCCTCAGGTTCTTTAGAATCCCAGATGAAGTGATATTTAACTAATTCCCACACTAATAGAAATCAGTCACTTGGCAGAACGATGCAATCTAATTGTTGGTCACTGGAAAGGGTTCAGTCCCCAGCACAGCATTGAATGACTGGTTAGAGGAGCTCATGTGTCCTGTCTCCGGGCTCACAGCAGCTGAGATCCCAGTCACCTGGAGTGGGGTAGGAGGGAAGTGCTGGAGCTGGAGGAGCCTCTCATTACCTGCAGTGAGGCTGTGAACCTGCATCCAGCTTTCCACAAACACTTTGAGAAGCATGGATATTCTACACATTAGACGTAATATATTCTTTGAGTGTGACCATCCTCCCACGTTCTATAAAACTGACGAAATTAGATCCCTCTCTGACTTGTATGAAATAAAACTAGACATGTATGGAAAGACTTACTCTTGAACAGCAAGAGTATTTCTGCCCTTTCCTGGTTTGTTTCCCCTCTTTCATTCTTGGTGTCCTGGCTTTGCTGCCAGAGATTTCTAAACCGGTGAGCTCACTCTCCCCCTCCTCCTTCCTTCGGTCCTTTCTCGTCGCCCTGCCCGGCGGAGGCTCTCAATGGGCTCCCGCAGTCACTCGGGCGGACAGCATTCCGTTGCCAGGCAACTCCCTGAAAAGAAGCACATGGAGCTGCGGCACAGACAGAGCGTGCCCGTCTGCTCCAGTGATGCTGTGGCCTAATTTCTACCTCTGTTGTGTGGGACACAAAAGGGAACATCTCCAGAGTAGTGGGTTAGGGAGTACGGAATTATCTGCACTTTTTTCGGTGTTTGTTTTTTCCCTCTCTCCCGATCGGGTGCATCCCCTCCCATCCCGGGGCCCCCAGAAGTCATGCATGGCTAATCTGCATGCAGGCGTTTGGGACTGCTCCCTGGGCTTTGTGGGATCCTGACAACTTTCTGTTAGCTTTTGGCTGAGTTAGTAGTACTTACGGAGATCTGTTAAGCTTCCCTGTAGCTCTCCGGTAAGGGCAGTTTTGCATGTAAATTCTCAAGGCCATTCATCTTTTCCTACCTGACTCTTTATTGCCTGGGTGTTTGGGGGTTTTTAAAAGGCCTCTTTAGGAACGCAAGCATAGCTTTTCTTATTTTCCCTCCTTTCACTGTGCTTTCTTGAGAACAAAGAACAGCAAACTAAGAAATTCCTTTGGTTTTTCCATGGCCTGAAGAAAGATCACTGCTTTATCCATGGATTTAGTTTTGGACTGACTAATCTTCTCAGAAGGCAGGCCCATACGCATTCAGATTCTGTGGTTTGAATTCAGCTCTGCAATCACAATCCTCCACTGTGTATTACAGACAGTATTGTCATTAGGTAAAAACCAGAGTCACATAAGAGGCAAGTTTCCAAATAGCTATTGGTAGCTTCCTTCAAATTTATTGTTAGCATGTTTTAATATGAAGGTTGCTCATGCTAATTGCCTTTTGTCAGGTGTGGTACCAGCTCAGCAGCTCACTCAGCCTGCAAGCAAACCTGAACCTCGGAGAGAAGCTGCACTGTATTCAGCCTGACAGAGTCTAATATTGCTCTGGTGCTCTGGGTATTCCACCAAGCCTCCTCTCACTTCTGGATCAGGTCTGAATTCCCAGTCCTAATCTACAAATCCCTAATTTGGTTAGTGCACATCTACTTTAAGAGCAGCCAAGAACCCTCATCCACTGATCCCCAGAGGCAGCATTGTACTACAGATTCCTGCCAGCACGGCTACGTCAACACAAACTGTGAAAAGCACACAACCTCCAGCTGACTCTGCTGCACCACTAAGTGCCCGGTCCAACCTCATTTATGCCACCAGGGCAGCACATTTGTCAGCTTAGTTTGTGCCTTCAGAAATGCCCTGTAATTAAACTGGCAAAACTCGCAGTGGCACTGAAAAAGATGGACATGGCAGATGCCCTGTAACAGGTAAGACAGGGCCAGTGTCACTGGACACATCGTAAGAAAGACACAGAGGTCCAACAGCTCTGTAGAAGGAAGGTCCCAGCCCAAATGTCCCAGTTCTTCCCAACGGCACACTACTTGTGTGATTGCAGCCACAACATTCCAGTGTACTTCAAGTGTGTAGTGCTGTGGATCAGATTCTGCCTCTCTGTTTCTTATCTTTTGCTTATCTCCTGCACAAAGGATCAGAACTGTTCGATTGTGTGGCAGCCACAGTTCTGCAACTAAACTCAAATGCACTGGCAAAGTCTCATCCTTTTGGAGCAGGAGGATATTTCAGTTCCTGTGAGTTTCACACACTAGGAAATCACCACATTATTTACAAAACGTTTTAAGACCTTCTGGAAAGAAAGGTGCTCTATACAGGCAGAACAATAGTTAGTACTTGCATGAGTCACACATACACAACTTTCAGTATTACACAACTCCTCAAACATCCCTCTTCCCCAAACACTCTCTATAAGATGAAACATGTGGGACTTCTCTCCCTCAAAAACACAACTTAATAGCACTAAAGAAACAACAAAATGTCCCAACATTACATTAAAAATTCACACTCCCATTTGAAGTTAATCTTAAAGGGAAAATGCAGCCCCAGAACTGCTTATGGCTGTGGCAAAGCTAATGAAAAAAGAAAATTAGGTGATCCCTTGCCAGACAGGTAAAGCACTGAAGAATAAAAACGCAAGCCAGTTTGCCATATGGACATCAACTTCTTCCTTATTGTCCATGTGTTTTCCGATGTATTTTTGGATCCTGCATCAATTGAAGATGATACTACAGGTTGGCCCACAGCCAGAAAGTGGCAAGTGAAATAGTGTTCCAGTACTTGCACTGTGAACACACAGCTGGCTTCAAAGGGAAATGGACTAATCCTACTTCATTTCCCTTCTCCAGTGTGTGTTTAAAGAGCTTTGGTGCTGAAGGAAATCACCCAGAATTCATTAGTTCCCTTCTGATTCAGCTCAGTGCTGCTGGAAAGGGAAGCAGGTCGGGATTGCAGGATCCTACTCAGTTTCCTTTTGAAGCAGACTTTCAGCCAATTCTGCTCTGTTGTACACACGCAGATCTCTATAATGATGCATATATTTAGATGTGATATTTCTCCAAGCTGCCTCAAACATATGAAGACTATGAAGGGAAGAAGAAAAATTAAATAATCTATTTGACTTTGTACCACTGAGAACTTTTGGCTGCGAACATTCCTGAGAAACAAACTCAGAAAATTCAGAGAAGTTCTACAAAGATACAGGAGAAAGGAGAGACAGAAAAACCCAACCGAGACTAGGAAACAATGACAACGAAGGAAAAAAGAGTAATACTTTTTTTAATACATCATATACAATTTCTGCTATTCATTGAAAAACTACAGCAAATTAAAACACTGTAACAGCTGAAGCAAATCCTAGGGATCATTTTGATCTTGTTTGGAGGTGGTTTTGGAAATGGAGACATGAAGATAAATCACTTACTCTGGACAGAAAGATCTTCTTCCCATTCATAATCAGATCTCTCTGTTTCTCTCTTCAGAGCTCATGTCATATTTTTATGAGCCTTCTTAAGGTTATGGGAAGCAATAGGATTTCAAATAATTCCAGCTCTATCCTGTTCAGTTTAAGGCCACTGCTTTCGAGACACTAAGTCAGAAATCAACATTCTTCCAAAGTAAACCTACAATTAACCACCTAAGCAGAAAGTGGCTTGTGACAAACAAAGCAGAACAGAAGAAAGCTCCAGGTTCATGGTGGGACCATGGCTTCACTCAAATCAAATAAGCACAACATGTAAAAATCACTTTTTGTAACTGCAGTGAAGACAAAGAAGTATTACTGCTGTAATAAACTGCCTCTTAAGCCTGAACTGTGATACCTTAAATGGTGAAGAGCCTTTTGAATTTGGCTTCCCCACTAATTACAAATCCATTAGCTTGAAGCAGTATACTGCAGAGAAAATGGGTCCTGGTTGCCATCAGCCAAAAAGCCTCCAAAATATCAACACTGTCTCTGAGACAGGCGACTCCAAACCCCGTGTTTTAGCAGGTTTTATTGTGTGAAGTTCAAGGGGTGTTTGAGGAGCTCTACGAGACAATTTAAAAATTTGATTCCTTACCAGTCAGCTGCAAAGATCCAGTACAGACACAATTTATATGCTGCACTAATAGCTCCTCAGCACAGGAAAATGAAGGACAATTAGAGAGCAAGTAATGGCTCAGTGGTTCTGTAGAACATTCTACCACCTACAGAGCGAGTTAAAATGAGATTATTTTCCTTTGTGACTCTATGCCAACCTCAGCTTACAGCTTTAACTTTTATCACTAGACCACAATTTAAGATGTTATTCAACCTACTCTAGAAAAAATCATATGACATTTATAACTTATAAAGGCTGAGAGCTTCATATAGAAGTGCTGGGATAGACACAGCAATAACAAATAATCTGCTATCTTTGCATGTACAACTTACTTTCTCACTCCAAAGACAAAGGTTGAATGTCCCACCCCTCCTTGGTTGTAGTGAATGGATATTGTACAGGAAGAAACCAGTCACCACTTGTAGTTTACATAACAAACAAATAAATACATGAAACAAAGACATATCACAGCTCAAACATGCAAAGCCAAAACTAGTTTATTATGGACTTTCCCCATTTTTGTTGTTTAACGGACTTTCAAAGTACAAGACAGTAGATCATACAAAGGCAATTCCAGCTCAGTCAGTTCCGTCAGTATAACTATTTTTTTATCCTTTCTTGTTTACCACATTTATGTCTCTGTTATTATTATTCTTATTTGCTACCCTGATTACACTAAAGGCTTTGTTTTGTATTGTCTTTGCAAAATCTGCATTTTCCTTTTTCCTACCTGCTTGGTTTTGCTCTCTCACAAAGAACCATTTCCTTTTGTTCACACTGTGCATATACATGACTTAAAAACTTCATTTGGTGTCACCTCAGAATTCAAATTTCCCTCCAATTTAAGATTAATTATTATGGATAAAACTATATTCTGAATGTAACCAAGCCCCTAACAGAGATGAGAATTTTGTTTTTACTGTCAGAAACATTTCAGCTTGAAAAACAGATTCCAGCAAAACCTGCCCTTGATTCCTAATGTAAAGAGCCACAAGTTCATTCTATGAACATAAAAATGAAGTGCAGAGTGAAAAATATAGTTCAGTAATTTACCCTACCACAGAGACAGAGTTACTATTTACAAATTAGAGTCAGTGTATGCAAGAAGAATTGGGCTCTTGAAGACATAACAGGAAAAGAAAACATCCTTTGATTTACATGAGAGATGTCTCCTAGGCTTCATATGGGAGGCAACGAAATACTGAGGGAGAGATTAAATGCTGTGGCAAGAGGCAGAACATAGTGACAGAGGAACACCTGCCCCTGCTGCCATTCCCTGACAGGTACCAAATGACCATGTGTGCCTGCAAGCAGGATTTAATACACTGTGGAGGCCAACACAGGCTGCCCAGAGCAGGAACAAAAGGGAAAGGAAAGCCATCAGGGAGCCAGGAAATATCAAGCCCTCCCACTGTGCTCTGCACATAGTGTACAGGCTTGTGCAGACCAC